GTCACAGCTGTTGTAATCACGTCTTGTCTTGTCCTTGTATATAAGCCTCCTGTCCTGTGTTGTTCCTTTGTCGGTTCGTCGTTGGGTATAGCCTGTCCTGTCCTGCCTGTGTGATCTTGATTCTTGATTCCATGTAAGTTTTGCTGCCATGTCAGCCTTTGATTTATTATTATTATTATTATTGAAAGTATTTTGTTTTATACGTCTGCCTCCTGAGTCCTGCCTGCGCAACTGGGTTCTTCTGTCCTGATCTGCCACGAAAATCCTGACAGTCACAGTTGAATTAAATGAGTGGTTTACTTCAACATTAGAAATGGTATGAACTAAACACACTTTTGATTATAAAGATATTGTAAAATAGTAATGATAATATAAAAAAGAAGAGTGTTCTTTCAATTGATTAATTCAGGATACAATTAAATAGTCTCCTGATGAGATAATTTGTATTTCTGGATTCAAATCAATGAAATGACAGTTCCTGTCCCCTCAAGGTCTTCAGAGACAGATTGATGTAGGAGGGCTTGTTCACTACATTGACATTGACTGAAAAGGATTGTTGGAATTATTTATAGTGCAAAGAGTGTCATTTATTGAATTGGTTGCACACTAGAATGTTTTGATGTATATATTTATTGAGAAAATGGTCCTGTTTTATTATGCAGGCCAGGTTGATAGCGAGCTGAAGGTCCAGGCCTAGAGCCTAAAGAAAGGATTGCTCTTGTAGTGCTGAAGATTTCTGCTTCTCCTGCCAGGCTGGTAGGAGGCTCCTTGCAGCCAACTGAACAATTTTGTCCCTACTCCACTATGACATTTGTCAGCCCACGACCTGCACTGAACCAAGCACTTGATAAGTAACTTGCTTGGGACCTGAATCAACCCCAGCTTGGGGTGAAAGAACTGAAGGGTGTGGGTGTGTTGCTTAAGGAACTGTGGGATTGTCCCCCCCCCCTATTTGTTTTTTTTTTTTTTTGTGTGTTTTTGCACATTCTTTATATGGCCATATGGTTGATTTCACTAATGTTGTAAATATGTATACATTTTTCTTCACTATAAATATAAGCCACCCGCAACAGCAAACTTCTAGTCTCTGTCTGCGCCTTCATGAGGCGTACCTTATCTTCTGAGAAAATAGCCCATTTGACATTTTTCTTTATCAACCATTTACATTGATATATTGCAGCATATTAATTTTTTATAAATATGCTACACCATGGAGAATGACTTCCGCACAGCTTTGAGGCGATTCTGGTCCACCATCTGGCATCTCAGGGGGGGAAAGCGGTATAGCACCAACACTGTTTATAGTGGGGGTGGTGTGCTGCTGACCTCAACTCAGGATGTCGTGGGTCATTGGGCAGAATACTTTGAAGACCTCCTCAATCCCACCGGCACATCTTGCACTGAGGAAGTGGAGCCTGGGGACTCTGGGTCGGGCCCTCCAATCTCTGGTGGTCACCGACGTGGTTAAAAAGCTCCTCGGTGGCAGGGCCCCAGGGGTGGATGAGATTCGCCCGGAGTTCCTTAAGGCTCTGGATGTTGTAGGGTTGTGTTGGCTTACGCGACTCTGCAATATTGCATGGACATCGGGAAGTTCCCCTAGATTGGCAGACTGGAGTGGTGGTCCCCCTATTCAAAAAGGGGGACCGTAAAGTGTGTTCCAACTACAGGGGGATCACGCTCTTAAGCCTCCCTGGTAAGGTCTATTCGGGGGTTCTGGAGAGGAGGGTTCATTTAATAGTTGAACCTCGGATTCATGAGGAGCACTGCGGTTTTTATCCTGGTCGTGGAACACTGGAAAAGCTCTACACTCTCAACAGGGTCCTGGAGGGTGTGTGGGAGTTTGCCCAACATGTTCTTTGTGGACTTGGAGAAGGCGTTTGACCACGTCCCTCGGGGAACCCTGTGGGGGTACTCTGGGAGTATGGGGCCCTTTGATACAGGCTGTTAGGTCCCTGTATGACCGGTGTCAGAGCCTGGTCCGCATTGCTGGCAGTAAGTCGGGCTTGTTCCCGGTGAGAGTTGGACTCCGCCAAGGTTGCCCTTTGTCACCGATTCTGTTCATAACTTTTATGGACAGAATTTCTAGGCGCAGCCAAGGTGTTGAGGGGATCTGTTTTGGTGGCCTTTGGATTGCATCTCTGCTTTTTGCAGATGATGTGGTCCTATTGGCTTCATCAGATCATGATATACAGCTTTCGCAGGAGCGTTTCGCAGCCGAGTGTGACACGGCCGGGATGAAGATCAGTTCCTCCAAATCCGAGGCCATGGTCTTGAGCCGGAAAAGTGTAGAGTGCCCTCTCTGGGTCAGGGAGGAGGTTCTGCCCCAAGTGGAGAAGTTCAAGTATCTTGGGGTCTTGTTCACGATTGAGGGAAAAATGGAACGTGAAATCGATAGGCGGATAGGTGCAGCGTCGGCAGTGAAGCGGGCGCTGGACAGGTCTGTTGTGGTGAAGAGAAAGCTGAGTCAAAAGGTGAAGCTCTCAATTTACTGAATGATCTACGTTGCTACCCTCATCTATGGTCAGGAGCTTTGGGTTGTGACCGAAAGAATGAGATCTTAGATACAAGTGGCCAAAATGAGTTTTCTCTGCAGGGTGTCTGGGCTCTCCCTTAGAGATGGGGTGAGAAGCTCAATCATCCGGGAGGGACTCAGAGTAGAGCTGCTGCTTCTTCATGTCAAGAGGAGCCAGTTGAGGTGGCTCGGGCATCTGGTTAGGATGCCTCCTGGACGCCTCCCTGGTGAGGTGTCCCACACGTCCCACCAGGAGGAGACCCAGAGGAAGACCCAGGACACGCTGGAGGGACTGTGTTTCTCGGGTGGCCTGGGAACGCCTCGGGATTCCCCCGGAGGAGCTGGCCAAAGTGGCTGGGGAGAGGGAAGTCTGGGCCTCCCTACTTAAGTTGCTACCCCCGCAACCCAACCCTGGATAAGCGGAAGAAAATGGATGGATGTTCTTTCAGCGAGTGCATTAGAAGAAGAGCGCTGAAGTGTTTGTGTTAGAAAACTCTACACATAGAAGACAACATTAAGGAATCACAAAACATTACATTAATTAAAAATTAAAACGTAATTAAAACATTACAGGAATTCAAAAACCATCAACAAATGGACCATGGCCCCTTCAGATCTCCTGCTGAACTCCTGCCCTGCATTTATTTTCACTTATGGGCCTGTTTTACTTTCTCTTGTCTTATCCAAACTCTAATTGAATGAGGATAAGAGAATTGGTTTTCTCCAATTAAAGTCTGAGCTGCCCGCCGTTATTCAGAGGGGATGGTATTCTGTGAAGGAGATTGATCCCCCCCCCCCCCCTCCCCCGGCTGTGGGCCACGTGGAGTCTGTACCGGCCAAGTAATTCAATCAGATTTACGGAGAATGGCGTCATGAGCAGCTACAAGGAGAACCTGTCCTTATTGTGCATGTGTGTGTGTGTGTGTGTGTGTGTGTGTGTGTGTGTGTGTGTGTGTGCGTGCGTGTGTGTGTGTGTGTGTGTGTGTGTGTGTGTGTTTGTGTGTGTGCGTGTGTGTGTGTGTGTGTGTGTGTATGTGTCATATATCTATTTTCACAGGCCTCTAAGTGCATGGTCCCATCTCCTTAATAAAAACATATTACTCTGGATGTTTTTAGGTCTGAAAAATACGTTTGTATTCTTTTGTTCAGCATCTTAAATGTCAGGGGAAATAATGAAATAAGAAATATAAATAAACGAAAACCACCTTATGTTTGAGAAACATTAAATGTTGACTCCAATAATCGATGCCAAAGTTTTAACTGAAGCTGTGTTATTTTGTGTAGTGCTTGGAGTCTGTGTCAGAATTGATTCACAGCTACCACCACACCAAACTGTAGCTCAAAATCAGTAAAATTTAGTTAGAACCATTTTCTTGTTGGCTGATGTGGATTAGATGAGGAGGCCATCTTGAATGACGTTTACTCTAAAAATCACAATCAGTTATAGATGTGCATTCAATGACTACTTGGATACTTTTATTAAAATCTATAGCATATATTGCAAACACAACAAGCTAACACATACACAGACACAAGAAAATCATTATCAAATGCAAAAGTGTGATAAATATCTATGTTGTATTGTTGATGCCTATTCTTTTTTTAGATATATACTGTATGAGAGTTAGAAAGTGGAAATGGCAACAGATTTCTGTCAGTCTTTAAACATCAGAAAAGAGACAAAAATTGACTTGGAAAATGGAAAAATATGCAAGAAGTCTCCAAATTGATCCAAAGACACAGAGAGAGAAAATGGAGACATGGAGTTTAAGTGATAAGGAAAGAGAGAGGGATAGCAGGAGTGGGATAGAGGTGAAGGAGGATCTTAATGTGTAGATAAAAGCATCTCACTCTCATCTTGAGATTTGAACCCGTGGCCTCTTGCAATGGCTGATGACTCACCCACATCGGCACATCCCAAACCCAAAACGCATCCATCGCTGCCACTGAGGACACAGCGGATGACATCAGACAGGATGCCTGCGCACACCTCGGCCTGTTGGACAGAGTAAAGGACAGCGTTCATCTCCTGATTGATCTCAGCCACTGAACACATTCATCCAAACCATAAAAGACCTACAGTAGATTGACACTAATGCTGTAAGCAGAGCCTGGAGAAAGCTGATCTAATTGAAGCGCTGTGTAACTGTGATATCAGTTTTCAGGTCATTAGACAGAACAGGTGTGAACCTGTAATGGTAAGTATAGGGGGATGCAAAGAGGACACACCAGCCTCAATTCCATGCTATGAAATAGTTGGTAGCACATTTATTTAAACAGAGCAAAATTAAGAATAATTAAGTCAGTCCCAGGTTATTAGCTTTAAAAGAAACAAACCTGTCCTGAATCTTGAGAATAGGCTGTATCAAAGTTGAAGGTCTTTAGTGGACTTTTGCTTTCCCGTCCCAATGTCAGTGTGGAGTGAGGTAGATTTTTGGTGACTGGTTCAATTATAGTGACTCTTTTCTTGGATGGGTCGATCCGGAGCACCGGCGGTTGACATTGGCTCTCTGACAGCAGTCGGCTCACCCTCAGCACGACTTTGACCTGTGCACCGAAGGAAATTAAAGACTCGTGTTGACATTTGATGTACAAACAGTTATAAATGGGTGATCACTCAGTGGAATACACATTTTACAGAATAAACTTATCAGGAAATCACAAATAGGCGAGGTTAAAGTGAGTTTTTGTCTGCCTGTTTGGGGTCTGGTCAGAGAGGTAAAACGTTCAGGAGGGGAACACAGACAGACGTCTACGCATCAACATTCTTTGAAAGGACCAAAGAGATCCAAAAAGACCTTGATACAATCCCTCAAGTGACTTCTAGCCCCAAAGTATAGAATGGCATATCTGGAAAACCTTAAAAAAGAAACCAAAAGAAAAACTCAGATCTCCTTTGCATTGTATCTACATCAAGTTTAGCACCGATGATGGAGCTACAGGCCTTATCTTTAAGGCTAACTCCAACACTCTATGTAGGAAACCCCCTGGAAGGAGGCCCCTTGTGTATAAAATATTGTTCTTTTAGCCATGATTCATATCTCATGAGCGCAGGTGAGGGCTGAAACAACTACAGACTAGTAAACCAAGAACATTGTCATTTGTCTCAGTTCCTTCTTTGTCAACATAGACCAGAACAGCACAGTCATTACTGTAGATAAGAGGCCAATCCATCCATCTCTGCTTCATCCTGCTATTACTTGTGAACGAGAATCCCAAGTACTGAAACTCTGTCACTTGAGGCAGACTCAGCACCAGAGAAAAAATAAGATTCCAACTTTTTCTGGATGAAAGCTAAGACCTCAGACTTTTCAGCTTCTGAGCTTCTCACTCAGATATAGACCACTCAAGCACACACAAAAGGTCATGGTTTGAAAAAGCAAAAAGGACCACATCATCTGCAAAAAACGAGAGTAAGAACACAAGATTCTCAATAAGACACCCTCCTATGCAAATCTGTACCTTGAGATCAGAAACAAGAAAAAGTCCTGGTGAGGTCCAACTGACAACAAAAAATATTATTCTTTTTAAAAGCCTGACTTTGTGCCAAGAATGTGGACACAGTTCTTGTTTTGGATAGACAGGGAGTGGATAATCCTTAGAAGCAACCTTAGCAGGTCATACTCCCACAGCAGTGCCCACAAAATCCCTAAGGACACAAATTTAAGTATTATCCAGATCCACAAAACACCCAACCATCCATCCATCCTTCCATCCATCCATTATCTTTACCCACTTCTTCCTTTCTGGGTCACAGGGGTCACTGGTGCCCATATTAAGCAGTCACTGTGCGAGAGGTGGAGGACACCCTGGACATGTCAGAAGTCCATCTTAGGGCCACATAAGTCCCTTTGCCAATGATAAGTGCAACTCCACTTGGCTCTCATCTTATCAGTTCTTCTCAGGTGGAGGTGATTTGCCTCTGTGACTTGTTTCTTTGCTCTGTGGGCAAGATCATCAATGCAAAGTGGGTAGTATCGTAACAGTTCATTGTGTTCAGCTCACTCACCCTGTTGTGGTCCTTAATCACCCTATAATCTGACATCAATTTATTTAGCTTATCCCTGCACTGCTTAAAAATGTGGGTGTAGCCATGCTGAGCCATCAACTCCAATGTCTCTCTGTAAATGTGTTCATTTCTTGTGGTTCTGTACGTCAACACAATCAGAGAGGAAGTGGAGGTTCAGATGTAGTTTGTCCATCCAGTGACGTAGTTCCGTTGGCCAATCAAAGGCTGCTGTCTGCTAACGTCAAAATTAGCACCTTGGAGCAGTATGATTAAGGTGGTCCCATAAATGGGTCTGAGTGGAGTGGGTACCAACAATGGGCAGGCCCTTAACTAGTGTGGAGAAGAATCAATGAAAGTTTAGATTGTGGTAAAGTGCCAATAGAGACAAGACAAACAACCATTCACTCTCTCACTCACACCTAGGGACAATTTAGAGTCACCAATCAGCCTAACATGCATGTTTTGGTCAGTGGAAGGAAACCAGAGTACCTGGAGAAAACTGATGCAAGCATGGAGAGAACATACAAACTCCCCCCCAAAAAAGTCCCCGGCCAGGATTCGATCCAGAAACCTTCTCGCTGAGAAGAACCACCTCTACGAGGCACCATGCTGCCCTTCCAAGCATGTGAACTGAAAAATCTAAGTCTCTCAGCATCTCTGCAAGGGTAAATATCTGGTCTACCATTCCACTACCAGAATGTCAGCCACAGTGCTCCTCTGGAATCTGACATTTGACCATCAGTTGAAAACTTCCATTCCAACACCATAATGTTAACCTTCCCAGGAATGGAGAAGAGTGTGATCCCCTTATAATCAAAAGATATGCTCGGACATCTATTTTTGTCAACCATCACAGAGTGAAAAGGGGGAATTGGTAAGACCCTTCATCCATATGTACATGTTGTCAACATGAAAACTTGAAAAATAAGTGAAGTACAAACTTCCATTTTGGTGTGTGGCTGCATCTAGATGTAAGAAAAATGCCATTGAAAAATAAAGTTGCCACATCGAAATCTAAGATAGCCATCAATATTTATGTATGCAAACTGGCCACCCCTATCATTGAGGAAACCATGCTTTCTAGTTGTTTTTATTGTTATTAGTAATTCTAATTTCTGCAAATGATTAGGGTGGCCACAGCACGGTGGTGCAACTGGTAGAGCTGCTGCCTCTCAGCAAGCAGGTCCCTGGTTCAAATCCCGGTCCAGGGGCCTTTCTGGGTGGAGTTTGCATGCTCTCTCCATGCATACGTGGGTTTTCTCTGGGTACTTCGATTTCCTCCCACAGACCAAAAACATGCATGTTAGACTGATTGGTAACTCTAAATTGTTCCTAGGTGTGAGTGAGAGAGTGAATGGTTGTTTGTCTCTATGTGGCCCTGTGATGGACTTGCGACCCGTCCAGGATGTACCCCGCCTCTCGCACAGTGATTGCTGGACATGGGCACGAGCGACCCCCGTGACCCAAAATGGAAGAAGCGGGTAAAAAATAATGGATAGATGGATTAGGGTGGCCATTGAGGTGGACAAAGATTAATCTATGATGGCCAAGGCCATGATTAGCCACCCCCTAACTCCTTCATTGTGCCTGGTGGTGGATAAAACTTTTCCCTTCACTCACCAGGATCTGACAGTGCACTGCCTCAAACAAGAAAAAAAATCCTACCTCTCTTCTACACAATGTAACGCCTACCCGCTTTAATATCTTACACTAAAAACATTAAGGTTTACTTGAATCCCCTGTTCATATCAAAAACTACAAGCATTCACTATTCAAATCCCTCAGCAACATAAGACCGTTTGTTAAAATCAGAACCACCACACCAGTCTTCTACTTTACAGGCATTGTCTTGCCTATAGAGTGCGAAACTAGGTTACATGCTTTTAAAATGAAGCTTGTATATTAAACAAACGAATAATGATCTCCGATTTAAACAAAATAAATTGTCAACAGATGTATAAACTGCATAAATGCTGTAATTGAAACAAAGACCAAAAATAATAAATGGTAAATGGACTGTACTTATGAGCCTTTCTATCTATTCAAGACACTTTAAGTGCTTTACAAAATACCGGAAATCTGTGCCCTCATTTACCTCAACACACATTCATACGGCACTCTACTATGTCTCTACAAAGATAATCTGAATCTGTAGAGACTAATCAGAGCTTTAGATCACATTCATACACCAATGGGACACATATCAGATGCAATGAGGGGTTCAGTGTCTTGCCCAAGGACACTTCAACATGTGACTGCTGGTGGAATCAAACCCCCCAACTCTCCCATTGGAGGATGACTGCTCTAACCACTCAGCCACAGCTATCCTAAGAAGGCAAAAGAAACGTTAAAACTGCTGTCAGTGGCCCATTAGGGTCACCAGCCACACATCTGTCTGTCACTCCCTGATCACACTTTTAAAAAGATAGGCAGACAAAAACAGAGTTGAAAGTAAACCTCACATGAACTGTCACTATTAAAGTCACATTTAAAAACTTCCTGGACCGTTAAAGCGACGTATCATGATGAGTGGACAGAGCAATTTTATCCACCAGTAGCTACAATGGCAGAGCCAGGGGGTGGCCAATGGTAGCCTTGATCCCACCAGCCACACAAATAATTTGAGGAAGGTGTATTTCCATGTACAAAGTATTATAAAAACTAGAAAACATAGTTTCCTAAAATGATAGAGGTGGCTGTTTTATATATACTGTATATGGTGATGGCCGTCTTGGATTTTGACATGGCAGCCCAATTTATTAAAAGAAACATTTCTGGTACCTAGATGCAGCCTCACACCTAAATGGAAGTTGGTACTTCAATTATTTTTCAAGTTGTCATGCTCAAAACATGGTATTTCCAATTCCCTTATTTCGCTCTGCAATGGGAAAGTGCAAAGATGACTGAAAAACCAGACACTCAAACTTGTGCACTGCCTAAAATGACTATATAACATGATGTCACACACATGGATAGTGGAGTGCTTGAAACTATACATCAACAGAACACTAAAAGCCTTCATAAAGCACTCAGTGGAAATGTGGAAGACGATTCTAGAGGCCAACTTAAAGCCAATTGCACAAGTCATCATCAAGTGTGCATACCAAGGTGATGCTCTGTCCCCACTCATGTTCTACATAGGCCTGAACCTTCTCAGCCAGATCACTGCAAAATGTGGCCATGGATATTAGTTCCAAAGCGGAATAATCATCAGTCACCTCCTCTACATGGATGGTATCAAGCTGTATGACATTCACTGTATCTGGATACACAAGGACACTGGAATGTTATTCGGACTGATTAAATGCTGTCGAATGGTATGCAAGAGAGGCAATATAGACTCAACTTAAGGGGATGAACAACCTGAAGGCAACATTGCAGGTGTTCAGGACAGCTACAAATATCATGGAATCCCACAAGCAAATAGTAATTATGAGGCCACAAGAAAGTCAGCCACAATCAAGTACATACAAAGAGAGTAAGAAAAGTCATAAAGAGCCAGCTGAATGGCAAGAACAAAGTTGGAGCCCTCAACACA